AAAGGTGGGCGGCGCCCAAAGCTCTGTGGGTAGGGTGCCAGCCACATGCACTGGGGCTGGTGGGTCTGAACCCAGTCCAGGCCTACTAAAACAACAAAACAAAACAAAACAAAAATAGCCAGGCATTGTAGCAGACACCTGTAGTACCAGCTACTTGGGAGGCTGAGGCAAGAGAATCGCTTGAGCCCAAGAGCTGGAAGTTGCTGTGAGCTATGATGCCACAGCACTCTACCAAGGGTGACGTAGTGAGACTCCGTCTCAATAAAAAAAGAAAAAAAAAAAAGAAAAGCATTCCCACAGCCCCACCCCCTCCAAAGTCCCCTGAAGAAGAGATCCCAACAGATATGGACAGCAGGTTCTGACAGAGAGGACTTAATGTGGATAAAAAAGCAGGGTCTAGGGCCAGGTACAGCCCTGTAATCCCAGCACTCTGGGAGGCTGAGGTAGGTGGATTGCTTGAGCTCGTAAGTTTGAGACCAGCTTAAGCAAGAGCAAGACTCTGTCTCTAAAACTAGCTGGGTGTTGTAGCGGGCACCTATCATCCCAGCTACTTGGGAGGCTAAGAGGATCGCTTAAGCCCAGGAGTTTGAGGTTACTGTGAGGTATGAGGCCACAAAACTCTACCAAGGGCAAAAGTGCAACTCTGTCTCAAAAAAAAAAAAAAAAAGAAGTAGAAAGAAAAAAGCAAGGTCTAGAAGGCTTAGGGGAATGTGATGCCAAGGACAGTGTCCCAGGGAAGTGGGGATAACAGGCAGGAACCCTGTACAGCGTCTACTTGCTGAGGAAAAAGTTGCTTAGTTTCAGGAACAGAAAACAGACCCAGACACAGGGTGGAAGGCCAGTGCACCATCCATCCCACAGGGCCAGGAGAGGGATCCTCTCTACACCTCACCGTGAAGTCCGATGTCTCTATACTGCCCAGGGTGGGTCCCTTCTCCACCATGAAGCTCAGGAGCCCCGTCAGGATGGTAGAGACAGACCATGCTGGGTTCCACGTGTCCGGGTGGAAATCCGTGATGGAAAGACACAGCCTGCATGCAAGACAGGGGCTCCATCAGCAGGAGCACACACTCCACGCAGCCACAGCCAGCTTCAAAGCACCTGGCTCCTGGGAGGCCTTACCTGGTATTGCACTTAAATCTTCCACTGGGAGTTATCATATAAATACTAGGAGGCTTGAAAGGAAATTCTCTGGGAAAAATTAGTTTTCCATGATAATAGCCACCTACATCAAAACAGAAAGAGGAAAGCACCTTGTCACTGTCCACAGCAGGAATCCTAGAAGTCTTGACTCTGCCCACTAGCCACCCGAGCTTGGCTCCACATCCCCACTGCCCTGTCTACCCCACACCAGCTCACAGGCTCACTGACCTCTGCCTGGTGACCCCACATCATCCCATCAGCGCAGCACACGTGCCAGGCCCACCCCCATTCCTGCATCTCTTTTCCTCAACCGTCTACAGAGTCAAAAGGGAATGTGCAGGGGCCAATGCCCGCATGTCAGGAGCTCTGAATCTAGCTGAGACCACCACCCCTACCTGGGTCCTGACCCAGCCAATACTCCCTTCTCCTGTAGTACTCATTTCTCCCCACCCAACTATGTACAGCAGCCAACAAGTCTCCCCTGAAACACTCCCCACTCATACCCTCTAATTTCTACTGACTGCTACCACCCTGACATGGATGCCCTAGAGAGGAGGGGAAGTGGTCTCCAACCAGGCTCTTGGCTCCATAGTGCTCCACCAAACCTGACCTCAGGCCACCCAGCCCACTGGTGTCTGGTCTCCCCAAGGGCCACTCTGACCCACCAACTCAAAACCCTACCTGGTTTGGGTCCTTTACCCTGGGGCCTCACTCAGCCTCATGGCTGCCCATCAGGAGTCCCAGGACAAGATCCCCAGCCAGCACCTCCATATGGACCTACGGATCCCCTGTCAAAACTCCAGACACTATACTGTCCATACACCACTGCCCCAGATGCCACATCTACGACAGAATTCCTGCTACTTCCCCAAATGGCAACTCCATCCTCTTAGTCAGACTGAGACCTAGAAGCTCCCCACCCACATCACAACCCTCCAGCAAAGCCTAGCAGCCTCACCTTCAGATCAGTCCAGAGCCCAGTGCTCTGGAAAACCTCCCCTGGCCCCTGCTCCACTGACCCTTGAAGAGGCAACATCAGGGGAGCTCCATCCCTGCCTAAGACCTCACACCCTGGTTGCTCGGTTGGTTGGAAATGTATAGTTTCAGGCCGTCCCAGGGACTTGTGCACATGTGTGCACACATGGCATTGGCTCTCAGGAGCCCTGCCTACGCCAGGCCTGTGTGTAGTGTGGTCCTGCCTCAAGGGGTGTGGACAAATTAGTCTCCAAATCACCATAGGTTCCCCACTGTTCCAAAGCTATCCTGCACAGAGTGCTGTGGTATCACAGCTCACAGCAACCTCAAACTCTTGACTCAAATGATCCTCCTGCCTCAATTTTTCATTTTTAGTAGAGACAGGGTCTCACTCTTGCCCAGGCTGGTCTTGAACTCATGAGCTCAAGCAATCCACCCACCTTAGCATCCCAGAGTGCAATGAATTCTTGCAATTTTAGGTCACCTCGGCATCCATTTGAAATCTAAGTTGTCTTTTCACAGTGGAAGCAGGGCAGTCCCCTGCTGTTTCTAGTTTTACACTACCTACCCTGTGCTGGCTCCCTCCTGCTATTCCTGCCTGAGACCACTGTGGGATCAACAATGGAAAGGAGACATGAGCAAGTGTCATCTGCAAAGCCAGCCTGATATGCAGATAAGTCGACCCTTGAGAGGCTACTGTGCCAGAAATGACACTGTGAGGACGCTCAGGATCATAAGGAAAGGCCCAACTGGAAAATGAGCAAAAAACTGTAACAGAGGCTGGGCATGGTAGCTCATGCCTGTAATCTCAGCACTCTGGATGGCCGAGGCAGGTGGACTGCTTGAACTAACAGTAAGACCTGTCTGAGCAACAGTGAGACCCAGTCTCTACTAAAATAGCTGGCATTATGGCAGGTGCCTATAGGCCCAGCTACTCAGAAGACTGAGGTAAGAGAACCCCTTGAGCCAAGAGTTTGAGGTGGTTGTTAGGTTGTTAGGTATGATGCCATGGCACAGAGTTGAGACTCTTCTCAAATTAAAAAAAAAAAAAGGAAGAAAAAAAGAAAAGCTAGGAACAGGTACTTTTCTTTCTTTTCTTTTTTTTTTTTTGAGACAGAATCTCACTCTGTTACCCTTGGTAAAGTACTGTGGTGTCATAGCTCATAGCAACTTCAAACTGTTGGGCTCAAGCGATTCTCTTGCCTCAGTCTCCCGAGTGGCTGGGAATAAAGGTGCCTGCCACAATGCCCGGCTATTTTTAGAGACGGGATCTTGCTCTTGCTCAGGCTGGTTGCAAACTCGTGAGCCTAGGCGATCTGCCGGCCTTGGCCTCCCAGAGTGCTGGGATTATAGGCGTGATTCACCACGCACAGCCCAAACAGGTACTCTTCTGTCTTTCTTTCTTTTTTTTTTTTATGAGACAGAGCCTCAAGCTATCGCCCTGGGTAGAGTGCTGTGGCATCACAGCTCACAGCAACCTCCAACTCCCGGGCTCAAGCGAGTCTCCTGCCTCAGCCTCCCAAGTAGCTGGGACTACAGGCACCCACCACAACACCTGGCTATTTTTTGGTTGCAGCCATCATTGTTTTTTTGGCAGGCCCAGGCTGGATTTGAACCTGCCAGCTCAGGTGTACGTGGCTGGTGTCTTTGCCTCTTGAGCCATAGGCACCAAGCCCCAAACAGGTACTTTTCTAAAGAGGATGCAGGAATAGCCAATGTGCACCTGTAACTATACTCAGCTTGCTACTAATTGGCTAGTATGATTTACATGGCAAGAAAAGTGCCATTTTTAGCTTAGCAGAGGGTGGTGGTAAGATGGGCACCCTCCTGCCTCACTGTTGGGAAAGCCTTTGCTGGTTGAGAGATGCACACACAAGGGCACCAAGAACCACACACACGAGTACTCATAGTACCAGCACTAGCACAGGTGACAAATGGGCTGGATGAGGAACTCAACTCTGACCTTGGCCCAAAGACACCCAGTGACTCTGGACCATTTGCTGAAAAGACTGAGCTGCACCACTAAACTACTTGCGCACCTCACCAAACATCAGCTGCTACCGTGATGTGTTGCTGAGTCTGGCTCTCCACTCTGGTCTATGATCTGTGTCTCTACCCTGACAACAATGGGATCTTCATTGCTGGAGTGAAATCTTAAAATAACTGACTCTACTTTTTTCTTCTATTTAAAAATTGTTTTAGCTACTCTAACCTTTTCATGTAAATCGTACAACAAACATGCGTTCTACAAAAATATTAAAACTGTATCCAATCTAAAGACTAATTTAAAGGTAACTATGTAGCAACACTTGTAGGAAGCCAGTTATGAACTACTGAGACAGGCCTGCTTGGGGAAGTAGAACAGCCAGGAAACCCAACACAAGGACAGGCTAACACTAAGCCAAACAGATGTAGACCCCTCAGAGGAGCCACCAAGAAGGAAGGGAAGAGGCATCAGAAAGGAAGCTATCAATAGTGTCAGACACCAGAGACCAAGAATCCAAGAACAGAGAAGAATCCTAGATGTGGCATCTCAGGAAACCCTGACAGGGAGAACATGGAGATTGAGGCTGCAGACAGTTAAGGGCTGCAGACAGGCAGGGGCAGCCTACAACAAGGAGCAGGCAGCTGGGGTGGGGGCAGCAGTTAGTGCTGCTTGTGGGGAGATGCAGTAGGAGCAAGCTCTACCTCTGAAAGGAAGCTCTATAAGATTGGGCAGGTGGGCTGTTCTGGTGACAGAACCAGCAGAGACCACATCGGGGACACAAGATGAAAGCACAAATGACTGGGCACCCCCCACCATGTCCAGCCATGGGTGAGTGGGGACAGTTCATGCTCACCAGCAGTTCAAGCCCTGCTGGTCTTGTTGAGGGGAGTAGGGTCTGGTTACACAATAAATATTCACTATTTATTTGGGAAATATTAAAACCACAAAACAGGGGATGGCGCCTGTGGCTCAGTGAGTAGGGCGCCAGCCCCATATACTGAGGGTGGCAGGTTCAAAACCAGCCCCGGCCAAACTGCAACAAAAAAATAGCTGGGTGTTGTGGTGGATACCTGTAGTCCCAGCAGCTTGGGAGGCTGAGGCAGAAGAATCGCCTGAGCCCAGAGCTAGAGGATACTGTGAGCTTGATGCCACAGTACTCTACTGAGGGCAAGAAAGTGAGACTCTGTCTCTTAAAAAAACAAAAACAAAAACAAAAAACAGGGCAGTTCCCATAGCTCAGTGGGCAAGGCTCTAGCCACATGCACCAGGGCTGGTGGGTTTGAACCCAGTCCTGGCCTGCTAAAAACAAAAATATAGCTGGGCATTGTGGCAGGCACCTGTAGTCCCAGCTACTCAGGAGGCAGAGGCAAGAGAATAGCTTAAGCCCAAGAGATGGAGGCTGCTGTGGTCTGTGACACCACAGTACTCTACTGAGGGCAACAGTGTGAGACTCTGTCTCAATTAAAAAAAAACAAACAGGGCGGCACCTGTGGCTCAGTGGGTATGGTGCCGGCCCCATATACCGAGGGTGACGGGTTCAAACCCGGCCCCGGCCAAACTGCAACCATAAACAGCCGGGCGTTGTGGTGGGCGCCTGTAGTCCCAGCTACTCGGGAGGCTGAGGCAAGAGAATCACCTAAGCCCAGGAGTTGGGGGTTGCTGTGAGCTGTGTGACGCCATGGCACTCTACTGAGGGCCCTGAAGTGAGACTCTGTCTCTAAAAAAAAAAAAAGACTTTACAGAAACAAACAAACAAACAAACACACAAATCAAAAAAACTAAAACCGTAGCATAACCCATTGCCAAGTATAAGAGCACCATTCATTCTGGTGTGTGCTCTTCACAGGGTTAGCAGCAGGTGTATGACATGCAGACTGGCCTGAAGCAAGTCTCTCCTCATCTCCTGGGACTCATTCTTGATGTGACTTCAGCACCCACCACACTAGTCATTTCAAGGGGCTCAGTCAGCAACACCATGATGGCACGCCCAATCTGCAGATGTGCTTTCCCAAGACAGAGTACCCGCAACTGGGCTTCCTGGGCTAAAGCAAAAGCTGCAGTGAGGCTAACAGCCCCTTCGCTGTGCTACCTCCACCCTCACCCTCCATAGCAATCCCAGCAGCCCAGAGTCGTGGTTTGCACACTTCCTTCTGGCAGCAGCACTCTCCTCCCATGAGATCCTATGCAAGATCTCCACATGTAGGCAGACAAAAGCCTGCTGCCCAGCTACCTGGACCCCACTCTGCTCTGGGCTTGCCCCTAGGATAGTGTCCAGAGAGACTCTCAAGCTGGTCCGGATCCCAAGGCTGGCACCAATCTCCCCAAGAGCCCCAGAAACTTGCAGACTGTTAACTCCCCAATCAACTATGTAAACAACACCAAAGACGGCGGGTGGTACCTGGTGACTGGGAGAGGCCAGGCCTCTTGGCAGCAGCTTGGGGGGCTGAGATCCCAGACAAGCCCTGCAGCCTCCCTAAGCCTCAGCTGCCTCAACCACACGAAGGGGACTTGTGCTTAGCTTAAGGACTATTCTGAGGATCGCAAGACACTGAACATGCCCAACACATACTAAACACTCAATAAATACTTCTTTCCTTCCTTCAATAACATTCGCGTGGGTCTTTAGAAACAGCAGAAGATGGGTGGTGCCTGTGGCTCAAAGGAATAGGGCACCGGCTCCATATGTCGGAGGTGGTGGGTTCAAACCTAGCCCCGGCCAAAAACTGCAAAAAAAAAAAAAAAAAAAACCCCAGCAGAAGAATAAGGCCATTTTCCACTCTGTTTATCCTGATCTGTTCTTCTCAACTCTATACCGGGGGGTCTGGAAAATACTAATACTCACAGGTGGCACCTAAAGATTTAGACACACCAGCAAAACCAAACTCTGAGCAAACACTTTTAGTAGGTGGGAGGAATAAGAGGATGAGTTCTAAATAAGTCCAACTTAACCAACACACATTCAAAATAGATTGTTACATGGAAACAAAAGATGTTTAACAGGCAAAGTCTATTCAGAATGCAAAAACTGTAAAAAATGAACAAATTTGTCTTGTTCTACCTCAGAACTAAAGACTTACCTTCATAAGGAGTCATCTCAGGGCCTCGTACAACATAATGCCTAAAGGAGAGAAAAAAATTACTGGGATTTGGGAATGTCAAATTCTCCAAACTGAGTCACTTCAAGGCTAGGTTTGTAGCATCCATCCAAACTATATTTGCCAACATTCAACCAAGCACACAACTGCAGGGTAAGTACTGAATGAAAAGCACTCCAGTCTCCTGTGCTGTAGGAACTGTAGCCAATTGCCACCCTTAAAAGGCTATACTTTCTAAATTTTCCACAAAGTGCTTTTGTTTCTACAACGCAACACGCAAGAATTCTCTGTAGTCACTAAACTAAAATTATAAAGGAATTTTAATTTCATAATACATTTTTTTTTTGGAGACTGAGTATCACTCTGTTACCCTGTGAGGAGTGCTATGGCATCATCACAGCTCACAGCAACCTCAAATTCCTGTGCTCAAGCCATGCTACTGCCTCAGTCTCCTGAATAGCTGGGACTACAGGCATGTGCCACTATGACCAGTTAATTTTTCTACTTTTTGTACAGACAGAGTCTGGCTATTGCTCAGGATGGTCTCAAACTCCTGAGCTCAAGCAATCCTCCCACCTTGACCTCCAGGAGTGCTGGGATGACAGGTGTGAGCCTCTGCACCCGGCTTCATATACATTTTACATATCTTATCTTACCCACTGTGCCCAGCTTCATATATATCTTATCTTACAACATGCACACAGGTGAACGAGGGCACAGCTAGTGACATGAAGCTGGCTCTATGTTCCTCCCCACCTCCATGCTGATGTTCCTGGAAAAACCAGACGTGACCTCTGAGCAGCTGTGCTGGAGGAGGAAGCAGGACAATGTTGACTACACCACAGCCAAAGTCCTCAGAGAGCTCAGACTAGAAGAAGCAACAAATAAACGCTACACTTCCCTATGCAAAAATAAATAAGGTTTCTCCTATACTGAACCCCTGCTCTCCTTCTGGAGTCTGGAACTTTGGTAGCTGCCTAGAGGTGACAACTGGTCACCCTAAAATCCCTGGCACTGAGTCTGATGAGCTTCTCTGGTAACCACATGTCAAATGGGTCATTCTCTGAGAGGAATCTGGATGCCTGTGCATGATTTCCTACAGACTTTGTCCTATGCACCTCTTTGCTTTTCTGATTTTGCTGTCTTTTCACTATATAAATTTTAACACAAGTATTCCTTGTGAATCACTGCACCTGGCTGGTCTTAGAGACTCCCCCCTCCTCGGCCCTCAGGTCACACATCGGGAGGGGTTCTCAACACAGTGAGGATGTTCCCACAATTCACAGAAGTAGAGGTAAGCTGCTTACGAAACCTGCCAGGGTGAGGCCTCCTCTATGAACTGGGGAAGGTGAACCCCTGCTCCATTTGGAAAATATTTTTAATTCAGTTAAATCTCTTTTGTCTCTGGTATAAAATAATTTATAAGTATTTTTTAAAGATCAAAACATAAAACATCCTGCTTGGTGCCCACAGCACAGTGGTTATGGTGCCAGCCACATACACCAAGGCTGACAGGTTTGAAACCAGCCTGGGCCAGCTAAAACAACAATGACAACTGCAACAACAAAAAAAATAGCCAGGCATTGTGGTGGGTACCTATAGTTCCAGCTACTTGGGAGGCTGAGGCAAGAGAATCACTTAAGCCCAAAAGTTGGAGGTTGCTGTGAGCTGTGTTGCCACAGCACTCTACAGAGGGCGACATAATAAAACTATGTCTCAAAAACAAACAACAACAAAAACAAAAACATAAAACATCCTTCAAGCAAAGAGAAAATGCTTTTTTAATGCCTTAGCCTTACACTTTATTTCTTATAAATTTACTAGAAAATTTGGTAGAGGCTGTATTTCTCTAAAGGTATGTGTAGTCTCCTAACTCCAACTTTGGCCAAACAGCTACTATGAAATCAATGTTTACATGACACAGGTGCTCAGGGGCACGTGGCCTGAGCCAGTGCCAGGGCTGGAGTGCCAGAATCCTGTTCCCATTACAAGCGCTCTGAAGCAAGACAGGCTACCTGCCAGCATCCAGAGCAACGAGTATAGGGAAGGCTACTCTAAGTCCTCAACCTGCAAGGTGTGTGTGATCAACAGCTGTGAACCCTGTACAATCCAAATCCTCTTGAAGAACCCCAGCCTGAGTCAACAGGACTCTGTGGTGTCTCCCACACGTCGTCCTCTGGGAAAATTAGAGAGTATCCACTCACACCTGGGTAGGGTGCCAGGACAGCCTGCCCACTGTCATGGCCAGAAGGACCAGGCCAAGGTGACCAGCCTAGGTGACCAGGCTCACCTAGCCAAGCCAGGAGAGAAGCTGTGTATGACAGTTGTGCAGGAAGACAAAGCCTTACCATTCAAGAATATTTGAAGGAAGGGGCTCAGCACAGATGTAAGGCACCGGGTCTTTCTTAATCCGAAGGTAGTCCTGCTTCAGTCTCTGGGTTGCTGTTGTTGGAGCTCTCTTACTACTGTTGCTGCTCATCTATTAAAAACAAATGTTTACATTTATAGAGAATGAGAGATGGACAATAACTCTTCTCATCCCAAGTTCAGCAGCAATACTCCTCTGCTCTCGTTTCTGCAGCCCATAATTCGTTTGCATGTGCACATCTCCTGCCAGGAACCCAGAATCACAGCCAGCAGGTCACTCTAACTTGCCACCCACCCAGATGTCCAGAGGTCCTCAGGGTCCTTTTCCCATCCATCTTGCCACCACCTTTCACTTATGCAATGTATGGCACAGGTGCAAAGATAAAGAGAATCCCAAAGTCTCAGTTCTGTCCTCAAAGAATCTAAATGGAAATAAAGACAACGATCTTAAAGGGCCATAGGTAGGTGTGCTGAAGCCTGGTCCAGATCCCCAAAACAGTGGTGCATGTCTTCCAAATCTGAGCTCAGTGATGCCTTGTGGGATTGAGTATTTACACGAAGGAAAACTGAAAGTACCACAAACCAGCTGACCTGCCCCAAAACCTGCTGGACAGTATTTACCATTGGTCACCAGCAAAAGGAGCAAAGGAGTCTCATTCTGAGGCCAGAGGAACAGAGACTCTCGAAAGCCCCCAAGGCACTGGTTGGGCACAGGAGAAGTCATGCCTTCTAGGTAGATGGGGCCGGGCCACAGGTGGACAGGCAGAGCCTCAGGGTCTGGCAACAGCACTGGTCACTGTGTTAGGAACCCAACACATAGCTAGGGGTGGGATTAAGACTGGCCAGGGAGGCAAACCCGGGGCAGTGCCCAGAAGACCTTTGGGAACAAGCCTTACAACAGATCACATCTTCTATTAAAAAGGCCACATTAGTAGCTCAGCTCGACAGTACTGAAGGCTAAGCACAGGGGGTGAGGCAGTGCCACCACTATTCAAGAAAAAAGACTGGAGGCCAGGCATGGTGGCTCACGCCTATAATCCCAGCACTTGGGAGGCTGAGGTGGATTACCTGAGCTCACAGATTTGAGACCAGACTGAGCCAGAGAAAGACATCGTCTCTAAAAAAGGAGCTGGGCATGTGGCGGGCACCTGTAGTCTCAGTTACTTGGGAGGCAGAGGCAAGAGAATTGCTTAAGGCCAAGAGTTAGAGGTTGCTGTAAGCTATGAGGCCACAGCACTCTACTGAGGGTGACAAAGTGAGACTCTGTCTCAAAAAAAAAGAAAAGAAAAGAAAAAAGACTGATCAGGGACCTGGGACTCCTCAGTTACATTCTAGAAGATGAAGGGAGGGTAGTGATCGGGACACTGGACTCCTCACTGCCACAGACATCAGAATAGCTCCAACTTGATCTCTTTCATATACTGGAGTTTCTCATAACTTAAGATGGAAAGAAAAAAAGGTCTGCAGCTATAAATAAAGTGTGAAACCACTAGTCTAAAATATGGAAACGAGGACGTGGGGATATGCAGTGATGGAGAGAAAAGGACCAAGAGACATTCCTCTGGTCTAGAATGGGCAGGCTAGGTGTGGGCAGTAGGGCAGAGGTGTCCACACCTTCCCACTACTGTCAGCCCCAGACCACTGCAAATGCCACCTTTCAACAACACACTGATAGTCAGGGCTCCCAACCTGTCTCATATGGCACTATCTGACCAAAAGCTATAATGACAGTCCTGGACAACAGCGACCATGAGCAATAGCCAAAGACCTCTACCTGACCTCCCAGTCCATACAAACCTGAAGTCTGCCCCACACCAGCCGTGGGGCCGCCTTTATCCTTAGGGTTCCCTGTGAATAGCTGTATGCTCATCTCACCAAAAGGTTTCCACACACTTGGCTACTATGGACTCACTCCTCAGAGTAATGTCACCACCAGATGATCTAGTGTCTGCCTCCCCACCAGTGTTAGCCCCAAGGCTTGGTGCACTCACTCCACACCCCCAGGACCCACAGTGGCTCAGCCAGACATCCCGCAGTGCACGCCCATCTTGTTCATCTTTCTGGGATCCCCTTCCCACTCTTATCCCACTGACCCTAATGCAGGATCCCACTACTTTTCCTGCCCAGTGTCTCCCAGTTGCTCCAAGCCTCTCCGCTCCTAATCATTCCCAGTTCAGGCCATCTTGTACAGTGACTTCAACATAAAGTTCTGATCATACACACACACTCCCCAAAAGCGCCTGAGGATCCCCATCAACACATCCTCCTGTCTGCCAATCCTTGGACAAAGTGGCCCCAGTCACTCTCCTGGCTCCCAACTCCCAAGACCCCTGACAGAGCCTGAGCTCCAAATTCCTCATCAACCCACCCCTCCTTCTCACAACTTGCTTCTCTACCTAGTCTACAGGTGGAAAACTCACCTAGGCCCTTTCCAACCCAGATGGAAGGCCACCTCCTTCAGAAGCCTCCCTGATTCCCCTTGTCAAATGCCTCCTACTTGGTCCTTCACCTGACTGACACATCATGCATGGGTCTTTGGAACCAGCAGAGGTGAGGGTAGGCTCTTCTGCCTGGCTCTGCCATGAGTGCTCCCACTGGGAGCAGGGCTACAGTCCCTCAGCTTCTGGCTGGAGAAGTCAAATGGGCCAGGTAACAAACTGCAATGATCCCAAAGCAGAACTGCCACACAGTACTTGTTTCTTCTTTTTTTTTTTTTTTTGAGACAGAGCCTCAAGCTGTCCCCCTGGGTAGAGTGCCGTGGCATTACAGCTCACAGCAACCTCCAACTCCTGGGCTCAAGCGAGTCTCCTGCCTCCGCCTCCCAAGTAGCTGGGACCACAGGCGCCCGCCACAACGCCCGGCTATTTTTTGGTTGCAGCCGTCATTGTTGTTTGGCGGGTCCGGGCTGGGGATACGAACCCGCCACCTTAGGTGTACGTGGTTGGCGCCTTAGCCAGTTGAGCTATAGGTGCCGAGCCCTTGTTTCTTCTTTTAAATGTTCACCATGAAGTTAACACTCCACCATATGCAAAATAACTCTGGCTAACTGAAATACAACGGTATTCTGACTCAGCTAAGCAGTCAGATTGGATGCTTTATCAAGATTAGTGGACATATTTTTAAAGGTAGTGAATAGGCACGGAAAAGTGAAACACGTTCTGCATGGTCAGTCATGACCAAACCTCTGCCCCATCCCTGCTGAGAGGTGTGATATGTAAAATCACATTATGATACAATGGCTCAGTTTCCTCAACTATGTCTCCTCTGCCTCACAGAGAACAATGCTCTTCAGGTCCAACCCAGAGGTTTGAGGAGACTCTTTCTCCAAATTCTCCCTATCTGAATATGACAGCAGGAAGGGCATGTAACACTACAAAGAAATCAAAATAATGTGAAAACACAGTATGAAGCGTATGTGACTCAGGTTCCCTTCAAATAAGTCTTGATGAAGAACATATAGTATATCATACTTAAGGGAACAGCTAAAAAAATAAAAGGCACAGGTAAAAGCCGCTATCACATACACACTGCAGGAAAGTAACCTGCATCCCCACTGAGGGCACAGACCCTTCAGGTCCATGTTGTTGTGGGATGCCCAGCACACCTTCACCTCACTCCTCTTTTCTCTAAACATCTCTTTTCTACCCTGAGTGTGGGTAATCAGGTGATCTTGTGCCAGAAGATCTTGCCTGGCCATCAGATAGACACGTGACATGTCCAGGCCCGTCACAAAAGCATCTTCCTTTCCCAGCAGATTGCTTCACAGACTGGATAGAGGCCCAGGGCTGAAGAAGGCAGCCCTGCCACCACTCACACACCTGCCTGAGAACGGAGCTGCTACAAATGAGGTCAACAGTGCCAAGCTGTGCACAGATTACTGATGCAAATCCTAGGCATCTACATTCAACCCTTCCTAAAGTCTCCATATTGAACTTTTCGATTAAATGATATCCTTAATTTCTCTTCCTTTGAAGCCTGATTATACCAATTTCACTCGCCTGGACTGAAAAGAGTCCTGACCCCCCTACCCTGCCCATACTTCAACCCATGCGCTCTCATAGCTCTCACACTGCGTTGTCCTTAGCTGCCTCCCCGCTGTGCTGTGGGCTTACCTTATTTGGGTCCGGCAGAGGGTTGGGAACTATCGTGAATTACACGCACACCTGCTAAATGGTACGCCCTGAAAAGACTAGACGCTTACACCTGGCCAAGGGCTGTGCTGATGGCCTGAGCACAGGTCGGGGTTTGGATCAGGGCTTCCAAGTCCACCCCAGCACGCCGGCCGCCTGGACCCTGGCTTCCCACTCTTACCGCTTGGATTTTCTGTTATTTTACACCCAGAAACACAATCCCGACCACACTCGTTTCTCTTGGGGTTTATACGACAATGTGGGGTTCCAACTGTTCAGGGGTGAAGCGGCGGCGGCGGGCTCAACGGCAGCGCCCCCTAACACACTCCTCAGGACACATGTACAAATCAAGGTCAATACTGCCTCGTCCGAGAAGTGCCCACGAGTGTCCCAACTAACTGGAGGCCTTTTCATAAGAGAACCAGCCGCGCGACCAACCAAACTCCCAACCCGGCGGTGGCCGCCCCCGGCCCGGAGCCCCGGCGCCCCGCCGTAACCGACCTCTGGTTCTGCGCAGGGACGCTCCGGGCCGGGGCCCCGCGGGCGGCGGGAGCTAACGGAGACGTCGATGTAGAGTCCCCCGCGGCCCCGCGCCCCGGCCCTCAGCTGCAGCTGACTCCACGGGGCGGACAGGCAGCCCGAGGCCCCGGCGCAGCGGGAGCACGAGCTCACCTCTTCCTGTCGCCGCGGGTGGGCCGCCGCCGCGCTCAGGCTCGCGTGGTCGAGACCGGAGCAGGGTGCGAAAGAATGGGGCCCGCACCAGAGAGAGCCGCACCACGCCGGAACGGAGCCCACCGCACCCGCCAAAGCACCACCGCCGTCTCCAACTCCACCTCAGCTTCCAAGATGGCTGCCTACGGGGCGGGGCCTATACGCAATTCCGCTTCCGGTGTGCGGTTTGCCAGTGGGCAGCCGCTCTAGGCAGCCCGGAGGACGACGCCCACGTCTCTGTTACCACCGGCCCCAGCTAGGCCACGCAGCGGTCTACGGAGAGAACTGTCAGCGCGTGCGCACTGACAGGCAATTCCGCGGGGCGGGGCTCCAGGTGGAGAAGGCCAGCGCGTGCGCACTGTGGGGGGAGCTATGCAGTATGGTTCCCGCCGCCAGTCCGCGGGTCTCGCGATGCGGTCCCCGCCCCCGAGCCGTCTCTCGGCCACAGCACTGTCTGCGGATGGCTCTGGGAGCAGTGAGCAGCCGCAAGAGGACCCCTGCGGGGAGAGGGATTTCGACTCTCCCGCCAGCCTCTTCCAGCTTGGGAACCCGTACGGCGGTGTCCGGCAAGGAGCCTGCCGCATCCCCGCTGAGCTCCCTCCGGGCCTGGCACACAGTCGTCGTGCCCGGAGGATCCTGCTCAGTTTCGTCCGCTCCCGCGCCCCGCCTGCCCTTGTAGAGCACGCCCTCAGCCCCTGGCCTGAGCCCCTCGAGCCAGTCCTGGGTTCTGACTGAGCGCAGGGTCGGCTCCGGGTGTCCGGGACATGTGTGACACGCCGTGACCGCCTCGCAGCCCGTACTGACGCCCCGTACCCCTCCGTGGGCCAGCCGTGCCCCACTGGAGCCCCCGGGACAGGCCAGGTATGGACCTGTGGGGGAGTGGTCTTCCTCTTCACACACACACACAGCCCGCTCTGACTTGGCAGGTTTGGAGGGATGTGAGGGTGCAGAACGCTGGGGATGGGCCTGTGGGGCAGGTAGCAGAGGAAGGCCAGTGCAGGATCCACTACAGGTGACACATGACAACTGATGATCCCCTGGCGCTGGAGCAGAACTTAGGAGTGTCCATCTGTCTGCCAGTTCCCCACTAACGAGTCAGTCCATGGGAATCCAGCCTGTTTTCTTTGGCTGTCACCAGGCTCTACCTTCTGCTGCTGCCCTCAGGAAACATGCAGGACAGACTAAGCTGTTTTCAGAGTGTGGAAAGTCAGGACACATGGTCCTGAGGCTTGAGAAGGCTCTACTTACCACTTGCTGCCAGCCTGGCTGCCTGCTTCCCATCCCAGCTGCTAAGGCCATCAGCTCTATGGCCAGAGCACTGAGTGGTCTGTGTCCCACTGACCAGGACCATGAATCTGAAAGTCATGGAAGGAAGGCCACCTGGGCTAAAGGTATGAGCACACCTCTGCTCACTCACAGCCAGCACCGGGGCCATGGCCTGGAACAGACCAAGTCCCTCCCCTAGCTCGGTTTGTCTCTAAGTAAATATCCCAGTGTACTTACAGAGACACTGCAGGTGCTGGAGCGTCTTGGCAGGGAGACTGCAGAAGAAACTTCCACTCAGAGCTCGGCTCCAGCCTCCTTCTCACAAAGAGGAGCACACCTGAGTCACACCCCAAGGGAAAAGGCTCCTGAGACAGGTGTGGCCAGAAGGTCTTGTCCAAACATCACAACCCCACCTACCCACATCTGCAACCTCCTGGTCAGTGGGACACAGGTTGCTCAGTGCTCTGGCCACAGAGCTGATGGCCTTAGCAGCTGGGATGGGGAGCAGGCAGCCAGGCTGGCAGCAGATGGTGACTAGAGCCTTCTCAAGGTTCAGGACCATGAGTCTGAAGGCAATAGCCACCCTTCTGCAGCAGCAGAACCTGGGTTAGCCTTCAGGAGGGACTTCCTGCCAACTCTGTAGGGCATGGGTCATGGAGTGTATGCCCCTGCCCTGATCAGGGCTCCCTCTTCCATGGGAAGGCCAGGGCTTTCTGCTCCCCACAAGCTGCCCCTTGGCTAGACAAGCTCTTCAAAGGCTAAGCTCTCCTGCTGGCTCACTCCTGTGATACAGGGAAGCACAGGTCACTCTAGTCTGGAGGTCTCCTGCTGTGGCAGCTCAGGCTGCTCTTGTGCCCTGACCTCAATGGCAGTACAGCCTACTCACTTGTAGGCAGCTGCTCAGAGATGGATCTGGGGACTCTGCCACTGGCCCATAGCTACTAGCAATGTCAGCTAACCCTTGCTTTGAGCTTGAAGAGGGGCTGTGGCCCCATTTTCTGTGGGGGGGGAAGCAGGCTCAGAAAGGTGGAGTAACTCAGGGAGGCTACACAGTCAGTGACAGAGCTGCAATTTACTCCAGGCCCTGGGAGGGACCAGGACCCCTCTTCATTAGTGTCACTTCCCTTTCTCAGGACATCACCAGTGACTGCTGCCTCCCACCAGAGCTGCCAGACCAGAGACCTCACTCCATTCTCAGAGTGGAGGCTGGACCTGCTGGATGCAGTGACTCCCTCATGTTTCAGCCCAGGTCCTTGCTGCCAACGGGCTGGGCAGTCAGGAACCCAGAGTCAGCCTGGGGCAAGGGGAGGGGCCCCAGCCCACTCTCCAACCTGGGACCAGGCTGAAGGTCTAGTTGTTGGGGACAGCAGGGCCCCAAGAGGACAGGGTTATCCTGCCACCGGCACACCATCTGTCCTCACACAGCCACACTTCAGCCAAAGATCTTGGCTGGGGAGATAGTGTGACTTGGCCCAGGGTGGATTGAACATGTGCTGGCTTGTGCTCTCAACATGTTGCATGTCCTCTTGGCACATGTGTGGTAGGTGATGGCTTTAGTATCCAGTGGGGAAAGTGAACCCCGTGCGGAAAGTGAACCCCGTGCCTACTTTGAGCACCAGGTGCTACCTCCACAGCCAGGCCCTGGGTGGTTCTCACAAGTAGTGCCTGTCCCATTGGCTGGGCAGCTAGTCCCAAGGGACACCTGAATGCTGGTAACAAAGGCCCACACCCAGCGTCCCTCAGCCACAAACACCAGTGGTCAGATCTGGCACCCTTCCCAAGACTGGCAGGAAGTAAGAACCGGGCCTCACCACAGTCTGCTTGGAGCCCATGTCTGACCTGAGACCTGTGTTCCAGGAGTTGAGGAAGACAGAGGGGCATCCAAAGGGGTCTTGGGCCACACTGTCCTCTTCTCCCACTTTAGGAACTACCATCCCTTCCAGCTAGCAAGGGCCAGGACCCAGACCTTACTGGGGGCGCTCCAGGTGATAAAGGCATACCTGGCAGAGGCCCCCATCTCTGCCCCCCAACACCCCCTCCTGGGTTGGGAGCAGGGGTGGCCATCTAGCCACTGGACCCCACCCTACAACCCTGTCCATGCCCAGTGGCCTCAAGTCACATCCACTTTGGAGCTGCCATCTTGGCTGCCCACCACATAATGTCAGCAGAACAGCAGTGCCCGCTAGGGCTCTCTTCCCCAGGCCAAGGCTCTCCTAGGGTCTCCCCAGCCTGAAGTGGAGAATGTGTCTCACTGGGAGGACACAGCATGTGCTGGACGGACCCTCAGAAGACATTTCAGACACGGCAGGGGCAGCACTCAGGGTGGACACCACTGACGGTGTGAGCTATGTTTGACCACAGCATGTGCGTGTGGAGCCAGGCAAGAAGAGAAGTGGCATGGCCTGTCTTAAACACACACACAGGGAGAGGGCAGGAGAGGGAGGCAGCCTGTGCAGGGCAGGGTTCCAGTCCTTCCTAGAGTATATGGTGTATCTCCTGTTGTGTGTGACTGTACACCTGAGTGTGAGGGACAACGACCTCCACCCGCGCTGTGTCTGAGGTGCCCACAGCCACCTGTGAGTCTTGAGCCTTCTGTCCTGAGGTCCAGACCCTGCCTCATCTCCAGGGAGCCCTGGAGGCTCCGACTGGACCCTGAGACCCTCTGTGAAGCACCCCCTTCTCCTGCCTGTCCAGCTGAGGAGGAAGAGTGGATACAGGAGTCAGAATCTTCCAGGCACCTGCACCTCTTCTGTTACGTGCTGCTGGTGGCCTGCCTTACCCGTGGGCTCAGCATGGGCGTCAAGACTGCCCTCATGGCTTGGCGCCTGTGGCTCAAGTGGCTAAGGCGCCAGCCACGTACACCCAAGGTGGCGGGTTCAAATCCAGCCCGGGCCCGCCAAACAACAATGACAGCTGCAACCAAAAAATAGCCGGGCGTTGTGGCGGGCACCTGCGGTCCCAGCTACTTGGGAGGTGGAGGCAGGAGATTCACTTGAGCCCAGAAGTTGGAGGTTGCTGTGAGCTGTGATGCTATAGCACTCTACCCAGGGGGACAGCTTGAGGCTCCTGTCTCAAAAAAAAAAAAAACTGCCCTCATTACCTAGTGCTAGCAGGAGCTCCTATAGACTGCATGAGGAGTGTGGGAGGCCCAGGAGTGAAGTGGCAAGCACTGGCTGGTGCTTGCAGGGCCCCTGGTGTCGGCGGCAAGAGTGGCTAAAGCCCGGCACATTGCTCCCCTGAGCCCAGGAGGGCTCGGTGACTCAGACAATAACGGGGACAATATGGGAGGTCCTCAGGTTCTAGTGACTTGGCATGTCTGAGCCAGCAGGTCTGGCCTGGGACCCTGGAGCCTCTGGGCAGGACTGGGACCAGGCTAGCCAGCCAGGCTATACATCCCTGGGTGCCCTGGTGTCCATCCCCACAATGGGCTGGTTGGTCTGGGGGCCCGTGTATCCTGAAGCACAAAATCTTCCCCAGTTACTCAGTATGGCAGATGATGCCTCACCTTGGGCCCATGGTACTGAACATTGTCTAGGCTTGACTCTCACCCCAGGCCTGGCCATACCTACCCTAATTAGACATGGCCACATTGGCTGCTGGAGGTCAGTGTCATCAAGGCCAAGAGATGCTTATTCCCTGGGCCAAGCCCCCAGGGACACAACACAAGCCCTGGCCTGGGCTTGTCACCTGGGTCTGGTCTTCCCTAGGGGTCCACCCACCCGCCTCAGCCCCACCTCCAGACACCTCATTCTCTGCCATCCTGCTGCCCAACCACCTAGGCTGAGCTCCAAGGCCATGATTAAATGCCTGAGGTGGTACCTGAGTTCTGGGGTTTCCTGGTGAGAGGGCACAGTGCCAGTCCCAAGAGTGGATAGCCTAGGGCAGGGTCTCATCCATGCATCTGTGCAGACTGGGCTATGCCACTGGAGGCCAAGGGATATTACCAACAGGCCTGAGTGGGACTACACTGAGAGTTCCAGACCAGATTGAAGCTGGGAGCTGCTGCCCGAGGAGGGACCAGATTGGAGCTGCAGCCATCCCTTGCCCTCTGCCTTGTCTGTTCTCATGACTGACCAGGATGACATCCTGAGGCTGCTGTCCCTGGGCCGCAGGTGTCTACTGGAAAGTAGAGCTTCTCTGAGCAGTGCTGGCACTACCTGGTCATTGTGGCACTACCCTGTCACTTGGAGCATAGGTGCCCTTCCCACTAGTCAATCCATGTGATATGAATCCACACCAGTGAGGGCGAGGTAATTGGTGTGAAAGGGGCCCTCACCCCTGTGCCTGTGGACAGCTCCCATTGAAGACTCCTAGCTCTGGAAGCCTGGTCATTGCTGACCGCCCAGGCCCTGCTAGGACCTCTGCAGGGGGTCATTGTGGTCGGCACTCCCTGGAGGGCACTGGGGAGCCTAGGGAGGAGGTGGGGGACCTATTCCTAGCACCTCTACCAGGACCTGGACCCTCTTCTCCCCCACACCTCCCACCATCCCAGGCCCTGTGGTGAGCAGTCACTGGGACTCAGGCCAGGTCACTGCCCTAGGCAGCATGGCAAGCGTGACAGGCTCTCCATCCCTGTTAAAAACTGGGACCTCGGCTCAGTGCCTGTAGCTCAACTGGCTAAGGCTCCAGCCACATACACCTAAGGTGGCAGGTTCAAATCCAGCCCGGACCCACCAAACAACAATGACGGCTGCAACCAAAAAATAGCCAGGCGTTGTGGCGGGCGCCTGTGGTCCCAGCTACTTGGGAGGCTGAGACAGGAGACTCGCTTGAGCCCAGGAGTTGGAGGTTGCTGTGAGCTGTAATGCCACAGCACTCTACCCAGGGGGACAGCTTGAGGCTCTGTCTCAAAAAAAAAAAAAAAGCTGGGACCTCCAGGGGCCTTCTACAAAGTCTGTTGTGAGTTCCTGAGGGTAAGGGTGTGGGGATGGTCAGTCTTTATAGTGAAATAATAGAAAAATTATTAACATATAATGTTTTAGTAAAGACTAAAATCAGTCTCTCTTTCTGCTCTTTGCTGCTCTTTCCTCTCTCACTTCTGACCTAAGAATATGAAATAAACGGGGCAGCACCTATGGCTCAAAGGAGTAGGGCGCCGGCCCCATATGCCAGAGGTGGTGGGTTCGAACCTAGCCCCAGCCAAAAACTGCAAAAGAAAAAAAAAAAGAATATGAAATAAACATACTTTTATATCCTACTCTTGGTCTAGAGAAACCTTTTTACTGGCTCTGTGGGAAGCACCTACTGAGGTCTGCTCCCTATTACAGGCCTCAGGGCCATGCCTAAATAAGGGCAGGTCCAGACTGACCCAGCCCTTTGTCCTGAGTTCCCTGTGGCCAGCAAGCAAGCTCTCTGTGTGCAGGGTCCTGGCTGTGCTCAGCTAGCTTGGCTGGAGCTGCAGGGGAGCACCCTCTCCCCAAGGGCCAAGCTCTGAGCCCTCCCTCTGCCTACCATTCCCCAAGGGGGTACTCCTGTCCCTAACCCAGGACCTCAATTACCTCAGTGAGCTGCTGGCCAACCAGCCTAGATGGAGACAGGGCTGGTGCACAGAGGAGGGCTGGCTGCCTTTCCTGTGTGCAAGTACTGCAGCTTCCAGAGCTGCTGCTGGATGCCACAGCCCTTGCCCTGCTGCTGGGCTACTGCTGGCCCTGCAAGACACAGGTGTCCTACCTAGGGACCATCCCTGCCTCAGGTGCCTCACATCAAGCCAGGGGCCACTGACTACAGGAGGATGCCCAAAATCCTAGGGACCAGTAGGCCCCATCTTCCTTGGATGCTCTTGGGCATCTGGCTGGAGTCTTGGCTGAAGAGTTAGGCTGAATCTGGCCTTTGGGATCCTGACACCTGAACCAGACCTGCCATGCAGTCAGCCTCTCCACCTGATCCTTAGACCTATGGTGGAAAGGGCTCCTCTGGCTCCCCAAGCAGGCCAAACCAGCTTCCACAGAGCTTCCCTGGCCACCCAAGGGCCCAGGAAGCAGTGTACTGCAGCCTCCAGGCAGCAGGCACTTAGCATGCCTGGCAGGGGCCTCTCAGCTCTTCAGGAGGCCCAGGCTGGTGGGACGTCCTTACCACTGTGTACTCCTCTATTGCAGGCATGACTATGTGCTTGTGAGTGTGAGTAGAGGTTCTGCCACATGGCAGAATATCAGTGTGTTTCTGTAAGCCCACAGGTCTGGCACACACAGTGAAGGTACTCATGCACATGCCAGGCCAGAGGAGTGCAAACAGCACCACAGCGACCTTGGGCTGCTCTATGTTCAGGCTGTCCCACAACCCATGCCGGGTACACTGTAGACCTGGCTCTACTTGACACTCCCTTGGACCAGACCCCAGCAGCTGCTCTGCCAGACCAGGGGCAGGGGATAGCCCCAGGCTGCCCTAGCCAGCTGGCACCCAGCCCTACTCCCACCAGGTGATAAAGTCCAGGCCAGAGAAGGGCAGAGGGGCCAGGGAAAGGAGATGGGTGTTGGGAGTTGGATGTTGGCAAACAAGCCCCAGTCCCCCACCAGGCTCTGGCAACTCTTCTGAGTCTGATTTGCATCCTTTGGGGGGATACCAGTGGTGCCCCACTGAGGACTGGCCCTTAGGGAAGACGGGGGACCCAGAGACACCCCAGCCGAGACAGCAAATTGAGGCTGGAAGCTAGTGGGCAGGCAGAGGGCGCAAGCGTTTTATTAACAATGAGCAACTGATCAGAGCAGGAGGGTGGACCCCCGGCCTGGGCAGGGCCGGAGGAGGGGCCAAGCTCAAGCAGAGGGATAAAGGGGTTAATTCTGCTCTTTAGAGGGTCATAGCCAGCAGGCAGGGGGGTGGCTTGCCCACAGAGCCTCCGGGCAGCATTGCATAGTGGCTAGCTGACTGGCCTTGGCCTGAGGGCCCACAGCTGGGAGGCCCAGCCTATGTTCAAGGGAACATGAAGGCATTAGTGGGCCCCACAAAATAAGTGAGGGGTCCCTGGACCCGTCAGAGAGCCTAGCCTAAAGGGCCAGGCTGGGAGGGGCAGTGCAGAAGGGTAGGGGCCTCCCCCAGCAGTAGGCAGAGCTGGAGTCAAGGTGGTCCTCGAAAGTCCAGAGGAAAGACACAGAGTCAGAACAAGGTCACCATAGAAAATCCACTCAGTCAGCAAAAAGGACATCAGGCATGGGTGGAACGTGCCCATGTGACTTATGTACAGGGTTTGGGCTGAGTTCCATGAGACCATGTATTGGAAAGAGACAGGGACAGGCCTGGGTGTCTGGCAGGGAAGCCTGTGTGGCCAGCCACATGGCCTAGGGACGCCCGCGTCAAGCCAGGCCTGAGGGCCCAGGCCAGAGTCCCACCTGCCCAGCACCTGCGGAGCCCAGCCTAGGTGCCAGGGTCGCTGCATGAGGTACTTGAGTTGGCTCCTTGCATGGGCCACCATCCTGCCCTGGGAAGGTGCTGGCAGCGGGCCACCAGCCTCAGGGCCTAGAGGTGGGGCTCTGGGGGTCTGTGGGAGGGACCCAACTAGCAGGTCAGTGTTCTGAGGCTGTCAAGTGGGGACATGAGGAAGAGTGATTTGTGACATAAATGAACAACCCAGGCCCTGGAGAAGTCATGACTTGCAGACCCAGGGTTCTCAGTAGGAGTGAGGGCACCAAATGACGCAGCACCTCCCAGGGAAATGTGGGCTTTAAAGACTTGGTGCTGGGGTCTGCTCCTGTCCCCAGGGTCCCTCTCCTGGCCCAAGGGTCCAGGTGGCTAGAAGGAGAGAAAAGAGGGGGCAGGGGCTTGCCCGGCGCCAGGCACTGGGGCTGTTGGAAATGGCCGTGTCAACAGGGGCAGGGTGCAGCTGTGAGGACCAGCGTCTTCACAGGCATGTGGGCCATTCAGCTGGGCGGCTGGGGCTCTGGCAGCTGCCCGCCTGCCACCCACCGCCCAGCCGCCAGCCCTAGCTGTCCTCCAGGTGGAGGCTGATGAACTCCTGGATGCACCTTCGGAACTGGAGCTCTGTGGGGCTGCTGCCCGCCAGGGGGCCAGGCTGGCCTGGGGCTGCCTCAGCCTCCCGCATCTCATCGGCCATGCGTGCCAGACGGAGCCTTTGGGGAAGCACAGAGTGAGGCGTCTGCACCTCTGTGAGGCCTCCCTGCTTCCCTCCCAGCCACTAGGGCCCATCCCTGCTCACAGCGTGACAATGTCGGCATTCGCCGCCTGTACCGCAATGGTCAGTGGGTCCTGCTGCTCTTGGTCTAGGGCGTGCTGGTCAGCACCCCGCTTCAGGAACAGGCAGACCTGGCTGAGAGGAGAGGGGCTCATGGGGTGGGGGGTCACATTGGGGAATGTGGTTGGGGGAACACTGGGGCACAAAGGCAGACCAGGGCACGTGGGTAGGGACGTGGGGGCCTCACCCAGTGTGACCCAATAGCGTGGCATGATGCAGGGGCGCCCGGCCCCGGCTGTCTCTTTGGTTCACATCTGCTCCATTTTGCAGGAGGAATTCACAGACGATCAGGGAGCCCTGGGGGGCCGGGGCAGCTCAGAGGAAACAGCCCCTCACAGGACCCCTGCACCCCAACTCCCAAACCTGGGCACCCCTAGCCCGACTGAGCCAGGTCTGCACCAAGGCCAAGGGCCCCTGGGGCAGGACCACAGACAAGGGGTGCAGAGACTGTGCTGTGTCCAGCACACAGCCTCTGCCCCACGCTCACCCCTAGCACGGCCTGCACCAGTGGTGTCTTGCCCTCATCCTCCACGTCAGCCCAGTTGACCTCAGCCCCGTGGGCCAGTGCCATGGCCAGTGCGGGGAGGTCTCGGGTACGTGCAGCGCGGTGTGCCAGTAGCCCAGGGTGCAGTTCGCGCACATCAGCCAGGCCCCAGGCCTCAGCCTCAGCATCCGCATCCACCTCACTACTGGACTCCTCAGACTCCACACCCTCTGCAGAGAGGGGGGGAAGTCAGGGCAGTGACCCCAGGAAGGGAGTGCTCTGGGGCTGGGAGGTGCACCTACCCTCTTCCCTGACACTGTCCACCATGGAGCCCACGCCCACACCGAAGGCCAGGATGTCCGAGCTGCCATCAGAGCTGCCGCCCAGGCCACTGTCGCTGCTCAGACCTGCAGCCCGCAGCAAAGGGTATCCTGGGCATGAGAGGTCTCTGGCCCCTCCCAGAACCAAAGGGACAGGTGGGAATTCCACCCACTCTGCAGGGACACCCTAGGGACAGAATCAGCCCCCACTGTGGGACAGAAGTTAGCCCAGGCTGGGAGGAAAAGAGAGAAACCAGTAACAGCACAAGAGAGCCAAGGGCAGCCTACCCATTAGCCAGACACACATGAAAGGACACCCTCTGGCTAACCAGCAAGATGGGTGGCCAAGCATGGCCATCCACTCTCAGTGGGCCTTTGTCCCGGCTGTGGCCAGTGCAGGCTGGAAGGTCACTGGCATCTCTCCAAGCCCTGGAGATGCCAGCTCAGGCATCAAGGGAGGTGCTCAACATGGACAGCAACCTCAGGAGCTACAGGCTGAGGGCCAGGTGGACACTGTCCTCTGCTGCCCGTGGCCACCTCCCATCAGTGCACATGTAGGCCTGCCAGCATGCACTGCACATGCACAATCACACCCACACCTCTGCACATATCATTCTTGACAGTCAAGGCTCAGCCTCCAGGTCAGTGGCTAAGATACCCCCAGCCCCTCCAGAGGCTGTTCCTGCCCCGTGACAGGGGCCTCACCCAGCTCCTCCCCTGCTTTAAAACTGCCCCACCACTGGCACCTACTCCCAACACTTACTGCGTGGACCAGTCCCTGTGGCCCCTGCATCAAAGTAGGAGAAGAGGGAATCTAGCTCATCTGGGCAGAAGAGGGAATCCCGGCGGAACTTGTGCTCCAGAGTGCCCGCTGCAGGGGGCAGGCCACGTGCTCAGATGGGGGATTGAGGCTGGGGTGGGGTAGGGAGTCCCAAGACATGCTGGGAGTTTTGTGGGTCTCCTGGGTGCCCAGATGAGCCCTGCCTCTAGCCCACCCATCTGCCATGGCCAGAGGCAGGGCTCACCCTGCCCTGCCCAGTGCATGGGCTCAGAGTGTGGCCAAAGTAGCCTCCCACCTGAGGATAGGGCAGCGACAGAGTGCAGAACAGGCTCGAGTTGGCCCTTGCGGAGGGTGGTGGGGGCACGGGGAGAGCTGTGGGGGCGTGGGCACTTCTGCACCCGCCAGCGCCTTGGAGCATCTTGGCTGGGTGCTATGGGTGGCTTCTGCAGAAACTTCTTTTCCACATATTTGTCCTTGATCCAGGCCTCCTTGTCCTGCCTGGACCAGGGCAAACGTGAGGCTGCACCCCCATCTGGGGCTCCCCTAGCTGATCAGGGATGTAGCCCACCTTACCTGGGGCTGCTGGCCGTGGGCTTCCTGCTGCCCACACCCTCGCACTGGGCCTCATAGATCTGGTTCACAGTTCTGTTTCCAAGCTCACACATCAGCTAGTGAGAGATGGGGGGCGGGTGTCAGTCCCAGGTGCAGACTCCAGCTCCCACATATCCTCTAGGGGCCAGCAGCTTTGAGAGCCCAACACCCACCTTCAGCAGCTCTGGCTCCCAGGAGTCCAGTGTCAGGGACCGCACTTTGGAGCAGTGGACACCCAGGCTCCTAGACAGAAAGGTAGTGGTATGAGTTAGGTGGAGCCCCCGTCCCTTCCCCTGCCCCTACTCTCCCAGGCCTACCTGTGGATGCCGGAACACTCAATGCAAAGCAGCACACCCAGGTTGATGCTGGCCCAGCGGGGGTCTGGCTGGCCACAGTCACCGCACTGGCTGTTGCCAGCCACACCCTGCACCCGCTGCAGTGCACTTTCACCCTTGGTGCTGCGCTCCCGAGCATCCGTGGCAGAGTCAATGCTGCTTGTGGATGGGGATGCTGTGCGGTCCAGCCTCTGGAGATGAGTGGGAGCCACTTAGTCCTGCAAGAGCTCCAGCCTCACTTTCCCTGTAGGTCCTCTCCTCCCCAGACAAAAGTGCCAGCACAGGGTAGGGCTCTTGGAGCACACGCCTGCTCACGTGTATGTACGTACACACATGCAAGCACCACCTGCCACGCATGTTCACACCCACACATACTGCACAGGCAAGTGTGCTGTGCACCACATCATGCAGGTGCAGGCGTGTAGCCTAAAGGAGCCTCTTGCTGTGGCACATAGGTATGGGAGGTGCAGGGAGGGTCGCACCTCACTGTAGCAGCTGTCTGGGCTCTCGCGGTAGGCGGAGGCAATGCTGGCTTGCACTGCTTGCACCCAGGCCTGCCGCAGCTTCTCAGAGTCCGCCTGCAGCATGCAGCTCCTGCCGGTAGGGGCCGTAAACCGGTGGGCAGGGCCCCACCCCGCCCTTTCCCACCCTGCCCTGCCCCATAGAGCCTCCTCACTTCGTAGGTGACACGACTTCAAAACAGAACCTCCTCTCGATGTCCTCGCATGGCTTCACGGAGCACAGGCGGAGGTCATCCACCACCACAGTCAGCGCATCCTGCAGGCCCCGTCCCACCCCCACCCATGACCACTTGACCTCAGAGACACAGTCTGTTTCCAACTCCCTGTTCCCACTTGGACTTTGATGTCCATTAGTGCCCTAGCTCTCACAAAGCCCAGTGACCAGCCCATCCCATAGGCCAAGTGGGGAAGGAATCAGCCATGGCTGACCCCAGCCCCCAGCCCGCAGTCCCCAGACCCACAGCGCACCTTGAGCTTCTTCTGGTAGACCAGCTGGCTGTTTTGAATGGAGAACCAGCGCCTGGTGAGTGTCCCGGGCACAGGTGGTGAATTAGACAGCCTCCACATCCACACTGACCCCACCACCTTGGCCCCGCTGAGGAAGACCCCTCACCGATTCCACGTCTTGAAGGCATTGCTGGCCCTCTTGAAGAGGTAGCCCTCCATCACCACACCGCTGGGTGCATCCACATCAAACTCCACTTTGGACTCATCGTAGGAAAAGTCCTGGGAAAGCCACAGCCAGTTCTCAGTGAGCACTCACCTGGGGGAAACTTGTCACCCTCCAGGCTTCCCTGGATTGAAGCCTGGGCTGAGGCCCTCTGGTAAGGCTGCTACACGGTACACAGTCCACACACTCAGGCAAGAGACCCTCTGCTCCTCACAGCCAAATCTGGGCCTAAGCAAGGCCCCCTCCCTCAAATCCCTGTGGGGCAGGCCCCTCACATTTACAGCGGGAGGCCCAACAGCCAGTCCCCACCCAGCCCCAGGCCCAGGGGATGAACAGGCTTAGATCCGGAAGCTGCCCTGCCGCCTCTGAGGCTCCATTCACCACCAGTGGGCTGCCAAACGAGCCGGACAGAGCTCCATTCAGGAGGCCTGGCATCCTGTGTGTTCTGTTGTCTGGAAGGCCCAGGGCAGCAAGGGGAGGCCAGGCCACCTGCTCTCCAGGCTGAGCAGGGATGGGAAGGCACAGCTGCTGCCCTCCCCCAGGGACTGTTGGGGGGAGCAGCACCCCTTACAGCTGAGCGCACACAGGTGCCTCCCTGTGACCCTGAGCTTTAAGGCTAGTGGGAGGTGTCCTTGGTGCTGAAGTGCTGGCCAGACTGGAAGGGGAGGCAGAGGCCCTGCCCTCCCAGCGCCCTCTGTGCCCTCCCCTGGGGATGGATGCTCACTCACCTGCAACAGTGTCTGAGGAACCGGAGCAAGAGGAAAGGAGGTATGCGGGAAAGAGAACCAGTGAGTGAGTTTACTCCTACCCAGAAGTAGCCACGCCTGCCTGCAGCAAACTCAACCCTGGGTGGGGGCCAGGGCCTCTGTCTGACAGAGGGCTGAGTGCCACCCTCCTCGTACCCAGCACCAGGGTGGAGGCCCCCAAGGAGTACACGTGAAGGGCTAGGGACAGGTGGGATGTGTGTTGGACAATATGCCCTTAGCTAGGGCTCTCGCTTGGGTCAGGGCTGCCAGGGCTCTCACCCGCTGCTGGATGGCTGCGTGCTTGCGCTCCATCTCTCGCTTTTCCACTGCCGCATCAATAACCAGCTGGTCCAGCTGTGGGACATACCATCAGGGAGGACAGTGGACCCCAGGAGACTCTGACCCGAAGCCCCCCCCCCCCCACCAAAGGCTCACCTCAGCTGCTAGCTTCTTCATGTAGGGATCGAGCTGGTGCAGGAGGCTGTAGCCCTGCTGGAAGAAGCTGTGCTGGGCATGCATGAAGGACAGCATCTGTGGGGTGGCACCAGTGAAGCTGCAGCCCTGCTATACCCACACATCTGTGCCCCTGCAGCCCCCCAAATACTCACAGAGTCCAGGATTTCAAACTTCTTCTTGGCTTGGAGAACATTGATCTGCCAGGGAGAAGCCTGCAGGTGAGGGGCACAGCAGCTGTGGCCCCCAGCCCCCCAGGTGGTCTGTGGCTCCTGCACCATGCCAGCCCTGGCTTCCTGTGGTTCCAGGTCCTACCCCATACAGGATTTCAGCCCCCCTACCCCAGGCAAAGCAGAAGTTTTCATCCTGTTCATGCCCCTCTAACCCTCCCTGCACAAGATCAGGGCCTTGGCCCCTACAGCCCATCCTTGCCTGGGAGCCCCTATCCATGCCAGGAGCCCACCTGGAGCACGTAGTCCAGGGCTAGGTGGCGGAAACATTTCCGGGTGAGGGTGAGGGCGCCTGTGGCCTCCTCCACCTCATGGGGCCGGTGCCTCGGAGCCTGTGCATTCCTCACCAAGGACAGCTCCATGTCCTCCCTCACCTTGTCAAACTGCTTCTTTGTTTCCTTGAACTTCCGCACATCCCTGGGGGCCAGCAGTGTCAGGTCAGAGGTCAGAGAGTCAGAGAAGGGGTGCCTGCCAGGTTCCAGATGCCCAGGGATCTCCCACCTTCATGAACTTCTCTTCCTCTGCTCCTGGGTAGGGCCTGAGCATGCCCCTCCAGACCCCCCAGCCCTCTGTGCCTTACCCCCAGGATCCATCCAGGCCAGGTGCCACCCTCCAGACCACATCCCCCAATGACAGCCTGACCTCTCCCCTAGGGTGGGATACCCCAACAACACACAAGGCACAGAGCTGGGGTCCCAGCTTCCTCGACCCACCCTCAGGCCACCTGCAGCTTCTGCACAGCCAAGAGGGCCTGGCAGAGATCTCCCCTACTAGAGGAGGGTGGCTTGATCCTCTGTCCCACAGCACTGGGGGCCACAGGGCCTGGGGCCTCAGAGCCACTCACTCTTTGACAAAGTTATGGAGCTGCTGCCGCACGGACCTCTGGGCCTGATCAAACAGGATCTGGGGGCAGAGGGAGGGCTAGGCAGTTGGGGTCCATCCACCAGGACCCTGGAGGCCAGTCCCCATCCTCCCAGGTGAGAACCAGGAGAGCCCTGAGAGCTGACTAACAGAGGGCACTGCCCACAGGCCCAGACTTGGGCTGGGAGCTGGGGTATGGGGAGCAGCACCCTAGTCTGGATGAGTGCCCAGAGGCAACAGCTGGGGCCACCAGCTCATCTGCCCAGCAGACTCTTGGCTAGTCTAGAGTCCAGTGCTATTACAGATGGGCCCCTCCTCCAGCCTCACCCATAGCACCAAAGCTGGGGTGAGCACAGAGCACAATGTAACACCCGCCTCCTGGCCCTGCAAGGCCACTCTGAGGGTGACTAGTTCTATAGTAGGTTAGAGCCAAGAACTCCCAGAGACCTGGCCTGAGGAGATGGAAGGGCTCCAGGTCCTCCGCAGGAGATTGGGGCCAGAATGAGACCCTATGTGGAAGGGACTGGGCCCAGGAGCAGACAAAGGGGGGCGAACATGTGCAGGAGGCACATCCTGAGCTGGTTTATTTCTGAACTTCCCCTATGTGGGGTGGGGCCCCTGTTTAGTCTGGGGTTCTGGTTCCCAGGCCACAGCCTGACCACCCACATGTGCCTCAGGCCCTATTCTGTGTGTCCACATCAGTGCTGGGGCCTGAGGGGTCAACCAGGCCAGCTCAAATGCCAGCAAAATAAGCCCAGGACAGAGAGCCCTGCCCAGCTAAAGGGACCCTGGTTGAACCTCTGAGGCAGGTGTCCTCAAACTATGGCCTGTGGGCTACATGCGGCCTGCCTAGGACATTTATCCGGCCTGCCAGTGGTGTTTTTGCCACCACTGCCTATCCTGCTTAGCAGCCGACTTGTCCAGGGACTCGCAGTCTAGCCCTCCAACGGTCTGAGGGACAGTGAACTGGCCTCCTGTTTAAAAAGTTTGAGGACCCCTGCTCTGAGGGATCCCCCATACCAAGATCCCAGTGCTCATAGCCCTCCCATGCCTGGGACACGTCAGAGTCCTCCAGTGATGTCCACCCACGCCCCCACTGACTCACAGATACAAGGCAGCCACCACCCCCAGAGACTGGAGGAGCAGAAACGTGGCCTCCCCCCAGCCAGCCACTGTGGCCAGCTCAGCTCTCTGAGAGCCAGCCAAGCTCTGTTCTGGGAGGGGCGGGGCCTGCAGGCAGCAGGGAGCTGCTTCAGTGGGGATGGCACTGAATAGGAACCTACACCCAGGCTCACCATGTGGTAGTTGATCACCTCCTGCAGGCTATCTCCAAACCTCTGCAGGCATTCCTGGGGAGAGGCAGGGCAGAGAGAGCATGCTGAGGCCACACCAGACAAGCCCCCCCAGCCCACTGCACACAGATCCTCTCGTGGTTGTGGGCAGACGCCACCCACTTCCCAGGCCATGGGCCCTTGAAGGGGCTGCCTCCTGCCCCTACCCACACCTGGAGGTCATAGGTCAGCTATCCCCTCACCGAGATGACAGCATCACCCTGGCACTGCTGGGACAGGTCGCGGACGCCACTCACGAAGAGCCTGTTGGTGCTGACATAGGCCTTGCCGGCCTCGATCATGCTGCTGCACAGCTTGACCAGCTATGGACAGGACACAGTGGGCACAATGAGGGACTGACAATTTCTCTAAGCAGCAGCCCTCACAGCTGCCTACACCAGCACTGTCCTAGGCAGCCAGAATCAACCCAGGGCCATTACTGACCGGAACCAGGGTAGGGATGCATTGCTCCACCCCTGCCCTAGGCTCCCTCACACCTGAGCTTGCTTGGTGCTTCTAGGGAGTACTGGGAGTGTGTGAGGCTGAGGCTGGCAAGACAGGGGAACCCCATGTGGGGTGCGTAGGCCAGACTATGGCACGTGGCCCTGACTGGGTCCAGCCCTGCCCATGTCCTCGTCCTCCGCCCCTGCCCAATCATGCTGAGGCAGTGGCTCCTTCTGGTAGCCACCAACAGAGGAGCAAGTGGGCATACCAATGGGAATGTGGGGCAAGGTGTGTGCACATGCATGTGCAACTGAAGTGTGGGAGATACAGGTCCTGAGTACACTCCTGTGTGCTTATAGGCAGCTCGCTGTGTGACGCAGGTACACATGGGTGGTGTGCAAGAGTTAGAAAGTCCTTTCAGGCAAGTCCTACCAGCCATGATCCCCAGCCCTGGCAGGGACAGTGTGACACATGGCCCTCTAGACTAGGCCCTCACCTTGTCCAGCTTGGCCTCGACCTCCACCACATCAGTCTCTACCTCGTCGATGGTTGCCCTGCAACAACAACAGGGGGCTGCAGCCACTTGGGGCTTAGGCTGGGCCTTCGGGCCTTTGTCATCTCTTGCACCTCCCCAAGGAGTCCGCCATGGGGAGGGGACTCCAGGAAACAGACTGGGGAGGTAGATGTCCTGTGGACAGCGATGACAGGGCCCAGGCCCACTGACTCTGGAGCTGCCACACACCCAGCACCATGCCTCCAGGCTGGAAGAAGCCAAGTTGACTGTGACCCCCATGACCTGGACTCTGGTCAGTTGACAGACTGGGGACAAGGCCAGGTAGGCAAGCAGCCTCTGAGGGGCCGCAGTCCATCTACGTCCTACCATATGTGCTCCAAGGACACAGATGGAGCCCCACAGTGGGCCTCTCTTACTAGCCTCTCTCTTCTCTGGGAGCAGAGTTGAAGGACACCATCTGGATGTCCTTCAACCCCCTCTGTGCCTGCTACAGCCCATCTTGGCCTTGTGCCTATGGACCCGGGTGCCACCCGGTGGGAGCCAGAGGCTAGGGTACAGTTGCTCTCTGGTCCTGGTAGCACCAGGAGGCCCCAGAGCAGCTGAGGAGACATGCCCCAACCCCTCCCCCACCTCAAAGCATCAAAGAGCACTATCCTCTGGAGGGAGAGGCAGGAGTCCTGCTCAGAGCCCACTCCCACCAGGGCAACCCGGCAGTGGCTGCTGGGGAGAGAAGGGTTAAGGCATGACATCACTGGAGAAGCTGTGCAGGAGAACCCCCCTCCTCAAGGTAAGAGGCAGATGGATCCATACATGACCACCTCCCTCTGGGAGCAGGAAATAGGAAAACAGGGCCAGGGTCCCAGCAGCTTCTCACAATCATCTCAACTGGCCCATCTGGCCTCCAGGGGATGGAACGTCAGAAACTGGGTCAGTGCCCAGGGAGGCTGCCCCAGAGCAGGCCTTGGGCAGGGTGGGTATAGCAGCCCCTCCCTGCTTTGCTGTCCCCAAGGACCAGTGGGGGAGGAGCATGCTCCAGGGTTTCTCAGGCCTGGGGGTCATGTGGGGCATGGCTGGGCCTGTCCTTAATTCCCACTGGGGCAGGACACTAGCTCCTATCTAAGGGACTGAGAGGCCAGAGAAAATCTACCACAGCCTAGCTCACATCCAGGCCCAGTGACTACTGCAGCATCTCCCCTCTCCTCAGGGGTCCCAGAGCAGGGAAGGGACCACCCCCAGGAAAGTGCGGCAGAGATAGCCACACCCAGAAATCATAGCCAACCAGAGACAGCTGCACCTAGAGCTGCCACTCCCCTCCCAACCCCCAGGAGGCGGCAGGGGTGGGGCTGCACCAGGACTGACAGAAGAGCTCACCGGGACAAAGTGGGAGCTTAGCAAAAATCCCAAGAGCTGCAACCAGCCCTTGGAGCCCCTGAGCACATCCCTCCCCAGCCTGGGGCAGGGGGACCTGAGGCCTCCTGGCTTGGCCAGAAGCCCCTCAGCAGCATGGAGCGTGGTGGGGAGTGTGAAGCCAGCTCCTAGCCAAAGCCTGACTCAGCTCCTAGAGCCCCACCCAGGGCAGGGACGGAATAAGGGCTGGGTGGCTCTCCCAAAGTTTCCCTGGACCATGTGCAGTCCCTCCTCAGGCCAGGAGGTCACAGGCAGAGTCCCCCCACCCAGGGCTGTAGGTACCAGTCTCCACATCAGAGACCTTGTTCTGTCCTGCCCTGGCCCAGGACAAGATGAGTACCCAGAAGCTAAAGATACAGCCTAAGGGAACCCTCACAGCCCAGTTAAATCACAGCCCCACCCCAGCCAGGCTGCTGAGGCCTCAAGACCAGAATACAGGTAAATTGTCCTTAGTTTCCTGTTCCACTCCCATGCCCCTACCCTGGCCAGCCTTTTCCTTGGGCAGCTCCTTCCTACCAGAAGCAGCATTGCAAAGCCCACAGTCCCAACAGGCTGGTGAGGGAAGGAAGGCCTGAAGGGGGGGGGGGGATCTAGTAATCCAGCCCAACTATCCAAGACTCCTCTGTGTGAGTGGAGGAGCAGGAGCCTGTGAGTGAAGAGCCAGGGTAAAGGTGTTTCAACTAGGACCAAGCCCTCCTCCCTCCACCCCCACCCCCGCCTCCCTGCAACAAGGCCCTGGTCATGCCTTTCCCAGTCTGATCTTGGAGGACAGAGGCCCAAGGTGGGGCATAGGGTCTGGGACACGAGAGTGCTCAAACCCTTTCCCAAAGCAGACAGCAATAGAAGATGGGAGAATATGAAGGATCCCCCTGCTCAAGATTGGACCCTCCCAATCCCAAACTCCTGAAGCCTTCATTGACTGTCAGAATGGTGGGGAAGGGCACCCTCTGCAGGCAGTTGTGCACGGGGCTTGTTCTAGGGACAGGCTTCCAGAGACCCAGCATGTACACACACATATGACCAAGCACAGCCAAGCACGGCAGTGCAGAGGCATGACACAAACACACCTTCAGACAGTACCATGCGCAGATGTTTACGTGCTGGGATATGGTGCATAAGTGTTCACAGGCAGGTATGTGCTCCCTGTTCTGGGACACACACATGCACAAACTAACGTGTCTGTCTAATGACATGGTAAGCACATCACATGAGAGGTGTTATGTGAACATGCATGCATGCACCTAGCATGCCAGCCCAATGGTACAGTTCACCTCCTCGTTCTGTGCATTGTCTGGCACCCCCAGAGAGGGCACAGTGGAGGTGCACTCTGCACAAGCAAGTGCAGCAGAAGGCGGCCTCCACAGGTACACGCTTGTAGGGATGGCACAGAGGTTTGTTTGCCTCCATTACTGTTTGCAAAACGTTCAGAGAGTAAAGCAGATACACGCTTGTACACACGTCCAGGAACATGTGGTTCATGCAGATGCCCAGAAATGATGAAAACACACAAACGAAAGGATGCACACAGCCCCCACCTCCCTCCCACCTGTCCTTCCCCACCACTCTGACAGCTCCCGCCTCTCCAGCCACCAGGTCACCCTCCACCTCTGCCACGCAGCCCACCCCAGGCCTCGAAGTGGTCCCAGATGCCTGTTCCCCGGGCACTACTGTGGACACATGGACCAAGGCAGAAACCAGAAACAGACCCCTCCCCCGCTGACCCAGACAACCCTGGCCAGAGCTGGACTGCAGGGCCTGGGAGGGGCTTGGCCCCTGGAGGCAGCCAGGAAACAGGGCTCAGACAGAGCTGAGTGGACAGTCCGGCCGCGGCCGTGCTCGCGCGGCCCGGGCGGACACGGCCGCGCATCGGCGTCTTTTGTTCCCCCAGCGCCGGCGGCTTTGTCCGGCAATCCTCCGCCCTGGCCGCTCGCGCAGCCGCCGCCCGCGCACGCACAAAGGCGGCCGCTCCTCCCGCCCGCTGCCCGGCTCACCTGAAGCGCGGCGAGTCCTTGACACACTCCTCAAACTCCACCGTCATGGCTGCGGCGGCGCACAGCGCTCGCTGGCACAGGAGCGCGGCGCCCAGGGCAGCCCGGCCGGCCCGGCCCGTCCAGTCCGGTCCCGCCTGCCAGAGCGCGCCCCGCCTGCTGTCACCGCCGGGGAGCGTCGCCCAAGTCAGTCGCCCGCTGTCACTGCCGGGGAGCGTCGCCAAACGCCTCTCTGTGAGTCCGCGGGCCGCCGGGGCAGGGAGGCTGGGCCCGTCCGCACACTCGATTTCAGGGGCTGCCGACCAGGCCAGAGGCCTCACCCGCTTCAGCCATCCTGGCCACCGCGCAGCTCCGGGCGTTTGCAAAACACACGTCTGGGAGGACTTGGCCGGAAGGAGGTGGACAGACGCGCCCCAGGAGCAGGGATGGGCGGCGGCGGGGGCAAAGCGTGTGCAAGCGCGAGCGAGCGGGTGCGCGTCTTCAGGGGCGAGGGCTCGCGCGAGGGTGCGAACGCGCTCCCGGGCCGCCGCCGTCGATCCCGGCCCGCGCGCTCGATGACAGCCCTGCACTTTGTACCCGCTCCCTAAGTCCGGCCTTGACTCCGCTACCCTCCTTTGGCGGTCTCAGGGCCGATCCGGCGCGCAGGCGCGGGGCTGACTGGGGCGTGGCCGACCGCGTGCGCGCGCAGGCGCCCATTTGCGGCGCGTCTGGCCCGGCCAGGTCATGAGTCTCGGTCCGGCTGCGGGATCCGTGCGGGCGCGCTACCTCGTGTACTTCCAGTATTTGGGCACGGACTTCAAGTATATTGCCCGCCCTCTCCCGCCCTTTTCGCAACCCGGGCGAAGTCCATCGGGCTGAAGCGGGCGGGTCGAACTAGACCGAGAGAGGACCCGGCCGGCTCCCGGGGCCGGGCACTGGGAGGCCGCGAGCGGGAGATGGATTTAGGGTCGGCGCCGCGGGCCCCTCAGTGCGCGCAGGCGGACGTCTCCGGGCGCGGCCCGTCTCCGTTAGGCCTCAGCGGCGGGCGGGTCCCGGGCGGGGGTGGCCTCCGTGGGCACTACTATAACCTTCGCTTCTCTGCCCGCAGCGGGGTCGCGGCCGTCCGGGGCGCCCAGCGCGCTGTCGGGGTCCTGAATTATCTGGAGGTGAGCTCACCATCCCACCCGGGGGAGGCCGCCCCTCGCGTGTCCCGGGAGGGGTCGAGTGAGAGCCCCCGGCGCACCTCGGCACGTGGGGAACCGTCCCTCGGGGCTGCGGCTTCCCTGGCTGTACCTGCCCGCTCCTGCAGGAGGCTGCAGAGCGGCTGAATTCCGTGGTGCCGGTTAAGTTCACCATCTCAAGCCGCACGGACGCTGGGGTTCATGCCCTGTGCAACACCGCACACCTGGATATCCAGCGCCGCTCAGGCCGGCCACCCTTCCCTCCCGAGGTCCTAGCCCAGGCTCTCAACACCCACCTGAAGCACCCGGCCATCAGGTGAGCCCAGCCGTGGGCTCTGCTCTCCCCAAATCTGTCCACCGTGGGTAGAGGCCAGAGGTCTGGAAACACTTTGTGTTTGGACAGAACTTGGGGGTGGTGGGGGAGATACCAAGGTCCTCTGGGCAGGTAGGCGGGATTACTCCTCCAGCCAGCCTGACTTGCGGCCACAGGGTACTGCAGGCTTTCCGAGTGCCCAGCGACTTCCACGCGCGATATGCGGCCACGTCCAGGACCTACCTGTACCGCTTGGCAACTGGCTGTCTTCAGTCTGAGCAGCTGCCTGTGTTTGAACGAAGCCTATGCTGGGCTCTGCGGCCAGAGTAAGTGCCGGTGAGGGGGGCTGTGGGCAAGACCACCTGGCTACCACACCCTCCTCACTGCTTCCCTGGCTCTTCAAAGCTACCTGGATGTTGACGCCATGAGAGAAGCTGCTCAGCACCTCCTTGGGACCCATGACTTCAGTGCCTTCCAGTCAGCTGGCAGCCCGGCCACCAGCTCCGTGCGAACACTGCACCGAGTCTCAGTGTCCCTGGGCCCAGCCAGCCCCTATGTCCTTCCTCAGGAGAGCAGGTGAGGAAGGGTGGCCTGCCCCAAGCCATTAATGAAGAGTTTAGCCTCCAAGGCAAAACCAGGTAGAGGTTGGATTGGGCAGAAGGGCTTGACTAGGGAGATGCTGGTTAGCTGGACAGTGTGGGGCAGTTGAAACATAGATCAGACACCTATGAGTCTGCAGCTGTGTCCTCCCCCCAGCTAGGGTCCTTGCCAGGCTGAGGATCAGAGAATAGAGGTTGCCTTTCTCTGGGGATCCTCCCCGGAGCTCTGCCAGTGGATGGACTTTGGCAGCTGTTTAAAGGTTTCACTGGGACCAGTGGCTCCAGCCCAGCCTGGCAGAGGGTGGGTCCTGCTGCCCCAGCACTGTCCAGGGGTTTCTTGACAGGTGGCAGCTGCTGATCCCTAGAAACTCCCCAGTCCACCACAGCCCAAGGGGAGGAGGGATTTCTACATGGCCACCTCATACTCTGGTGGTAGGGCACTAAGCTCAGGGCTGGGCTTCTGCAGGTGACCTGGCTGTGCTTCCCCAGCCCCCAAACTCAGGGCATCTCTACGGGATATGTGAGGGGCCTGAATATGAACCTGGCCTATGGAGGCGACAGGGCAGGCTGGGAAGGCAGGGGCTGCTGGTCAGGACCTAGTAGGTTCATCTCCTAGGAGATTGCGCTTCTGGAACCTGGAGTTTGAGAGCCAGTCTTTCCTGTACAGACAGGTAGGCTCTTATCTGCCCCTACCCCCAACCTGGGGTTGGGTGCGCTGGCCCCTGCAAGTCTTGGTCTGGGTTGCAGGTCCGGAGGATGACAGCTGTGCTGGTGGCCGTAGGGCTGGGGGTTTTACTGCCTGCCCAGGTGAAGATGATTCTGGAGAGCCGAGATCCCTTAGGCAAACACCAGGCTCATGTGGCCCCAGCACATGGCTTATTCCTGAAATCAGTGCTCTATGGCAGCTTAAGGGAGTCTGGTAAGAGGAGTGGGTCTGAGGGGCCCTGCTCCAACTGACCCTCCTAAGGTTAGGCCATGCTTGGGGGGAGGAGCTCTCTTGGTGGCAGTCACAGACCTCCTGTTGTCCAGGCACCTGGAATCAGCAGGGCTGGGGTGTTTGGAGGGAAGGTACCTGCTCTCCCAGCTCCCTAGCCTAGTTCTCTGGCCCCTATGAGGTTCCAGCCCTGGGGAGAGCTTTGGGCTAACCCCCAACCCCAGCTTAACCTAGGGTTTGTCCATAGGTCCTTCCTCCTGCATCCTGCAAGGTGTACAATGTGAAAGCTACAGGGACCCTGGACCCTCAGCTGAGGTCAATCCGGTTACAGCACTCCAGCACAGCAGGCACTAACCCTGTGCTGGTCAAGACAGGGTATCCACAGCCACTTGAGGCCACAGCATTTCCACTACCCTGGACACTGCTCTCTGCCCTGGTGGGGAGTGGAGGACATGCTGGTATGGGATGGGGTGTGGGAGACAGGTATGTGATAGGAAGGGAAAACCAGGCAACGCCTGTGGCTCAGTGAGTAGGGCACCAGCCCCATATACTGAGGGTGGTGGGTTTGAACCCGGCCCCAGCCAAACTGCAACAAAAAAAAGTAGCCAGGCGTTGTGGCAGGCACCTGTAGTACCAGCTACTCCAGAGGCTGAGGCAAGAGAATTGCCTAAGGCCAAGAGCTGGGGGCTGCTGTGAGCTATGATGCCACAGCACTCTACTGAGGGTGACAAAGTGAGACTTTTTTTTTTTTTTTGGCAGAGGCTGGGTTTGAACCCACCACCTCCAGTATATGGTGCTGGCGCCCTACTCCTTTGAGGCAGAGGCACAGCCCAAGACTCTCTTTAAAAAAAAAAAAAAAAGGACAGGAAAACCAAGTAGCCTCTTAATTTGCTTTTATTAGAATTGCTACCTGGAAGCCCCTTCCCCCACCATCATAAGGCCCTAGAGTAAAAATAAAAGCCAAGGAGTCCCAGGGCCTGTTTATATTTTCAGCCAGAAATAGGTGCTGTGGCCCAGCTAGGGGCTCCATTCACCCAGGGCACATAAATCCTGCAGTGGAGAAATTCAGAAGGCAGAGGTAGCAGGCCTGGGTGACTAGCTGACTTCAGCTGGGGGTCTGGGGGAGACCCTTCTTGAGCAGTGATGTGAGGTAGCTCCCCAGCTCCTCATCCTAGTAGAGGCAGCATAGGGTGAGGAGGGAGTAAAGCCACAGGATAGATACCCCTCCAGTAATCCCTGCCAGGCCTTACCTGGTAGGTCCAAGAGACTAGCAGCACTTTGGTGGCTGGGTCCTCAGAGGGGGCAGCAGCCTGGATGAGGATGGACTCAACTGTCACAGAGCCATCAGGAAGGTGCTGCACACAGTGGTCCTTCAGGATGCTGTGGGGAGGCATGATAAGACACCTCCTGGCCTCTGGGGCTGGTGGGTACAGGGCAGGGTGCCCACCTCTTGAGGTGGCTGTAAACACGCATGGCTGTCTCCTGCTCCTTTCGAGAGTCATGTAGGTGCACACGGCAGGTAAAGCGCAGCTGGTGCTCAGCCAGGCCCAGCTCCTTAAGGGCTTGCTCTGAGGATATGAGCCGGAAATTCTGGGGGGGGGGGG